TCAACAGCAATTCGCAAGTTTGCATTTGAAAATCTAATATTTCTCAAATGATGCAAATATCAATTATCATTCACAAGTTTTGTTCTAAAATTTAAAACTTTTCTTCTTAGAATCACAAAAATTTAATAACAATTTGCAAATTCACATTTAAAATCCTAATATTCCTTAAGTGTTGCAAATATCAATTATAATTCACAAGTTTTGTTCTAAAATTTTTAACTTTTCTTCTTAAAATCACAAGAATGTAATAGCAATTCATAAGTTTGTATTTGAAATTCTGAACTAAGGACAATTGGTCATTTACATTAATTCCTTAATGATAGAAAAGTTCCTAGGAACTTTAGGAAAATTATGGTATTTCGAGGGTGTGAACACTGTATTTTGCCCGGGCATTTTTTAAATTTAATAATAAATAATCAAAAAATATAAAAATACAAAAATAAAATTTAACCCTTTTTAGGATTATATTATATTTTCAAAAAAAATCAAAAAATCTTGTTTAAATCTTTTAAAAATATCTCAATCATTCAAAAATATTCGAGAATCAACTTTTGAGAGTTAATTTTTGTTATCTTTTTTTCTCTCCTTAATCTTGTTGTTTTTCAAAAAAGAAAGAGAAATATTCTAGTTTAACTCAAAATTAATTTCTTTTTTTTCTTCTCTTCTTTCTTTTCTTTCTTCTTCCTTTTAATCTAGTTCTTGAAGTTAATAAACAAAAAAAAAAGAGTGGAGAGCAGAACGTACATGTTGCATAGGCTGGAGAGGAAATGAGAAAAGAAATGAAATACACACACACACACACATACACACTTTCGGCTATGCAGCAGGAAAAGGAGAAAACAGCAGAACACACGAACACATGAAGAAACCTGAGCTGCAAACATTGAAAGAACCAGAGACACTCAGTTAAGCACAGTAAACAGAAAGCAGAAAGAACACATGAACACAGCAATGTAGAAAGAGACAACAGACACGAAATGCAGAAGAAGCAAAACAGAGCAGAAAGAACAGTAAGCAATCGGAACATGTACGCATATGCTTTCAGCTAGCAGGAGAAAAGAAACAGAACTAAGGACGCACGCACGCACGCAAAAGATGGCACAGCAGAGAAAGGAGATGGGACAACATAGAAAAAATGAGAAGAAATAGAGACAAAAATGTAAAAAAATTAGAGCAGAGACTTCGGCGCACACAAAAAAACGCAGCAAAAAGGAAGAAGTAGAGCAGGAGAGCAATGATTCACCTCTTCCATCCCCTATATAAGACTGAACGTGAAACAGAGACAGGGGGCAATTTTTGTTGAGAAAAGTAAGGAGAAACATACACACAGAAGAAGCAGAAAATAGAACACGAAAGAATCGAAGGCGAAGAGAGAGGTTGAGAGAAAAAGAAACAAAGATGAAGAGAGGAGAAATGGAGTCAGCCGAGAAACCAGCAACGGAGAGTTTTCTAAAAAAAAGAAGAAAGGAGATGGAGAGGAGAAAGAAGAAACAGAGACTGAGAGGAGAAAGAGGAGATTGAGACGTGAAGGAGAATTTTCTAAAAACAAAGAAAATGAAGAAGAGGAAGAAGAGATCAAGATCAGAGAGTGAGAAGTGACAGGAGTAGTGAGACAGATCTGGGACGTCCTATACACACAGGTTCTTGCTTCTGAATCTAAAATACACGTGTTTAATTTCTGTTTATTATTCCAAACAAATAGATTTCATGTTTAAATATTTTGTCCCATATTTTTCAGTTCCCAAATGATTTTCATTATAATTGTCATATTTTTAAAAAAGAGAGTGTGAAAAAGAAGGATAAAGAAATTGCAAATAATAATTTTTGCTTGCTATCATAGCTAAGCTAAATTTGATTTTACGAACAACCTCATTTCAAATAGAGAATTAGTGTAATTATTAAGCAAGGTCTTTAAATATGTTTTAGCATGAAAGGGTGTATTAATATGTATGAGCATGATTTTTTTTATCTCCATTAGTCTTAAGGTCATTTACTTGTCAATAATATTGCTACACTCATATCATATGGCATTCTCCATCACGATTACATGTACGATTTTGTTTATTATGACAAACCTATTTTATAAAAGGAGAGAGAATTTGATTCTTACCCAATTTAAAAAAAAATGAAATGAATAAGAGAAAATTTATCTCTAATCATTTATTTGTCGTGTGAGATTTTAAGAATCTCCGTAGGCATTAGAACGATTTTATACCATGTAAATCAATAAGATTTCGCAGGTATGAGGATCAATCTTATAATAAATATTTAAATCTCATATGAGATTTTAAGAATCTTCGTAGAGACTTAAGTTAATCACATTATCGTGTAGGATAATATATCCCCACAGATATCGTGATTCTCAATTTGTATATATTACATAAGCAAATTTTTGTAAATAAAATAATAAATATTTTTTATGATTTTAATTAATTAAATTAATAAATTTGAATTATAATCACATTTTCTAATTAGATCTTTTAGTCATGTGAGGTTTTTGAAACTCCGTAGACCTTTAAGATAATCGTACTACCGTGTGAGTCAATAAGACTTCACAGGTATAACGATTAAGATTTCTATATAAAAAAATATGTGTTATATAATTACACATTAAAATATATTCAAATTGAATATTATTTAATCATTTTATCGCGTGAGACTTTGAATCTCCACAGATATTCAAGATAATCTCGTATCGTGCAAATCAATGAGGTTTCACAAATATGAGAGTAAAACTTATATGTTAATATGAGTTCTAAAGGCCCACCATTAAATTAACTCTCCTTTTATAATTCAAATTAATAATTTATTTAAGTCTCATGTGAGGTGTCAAGAATCTTCGTAGAGGCTTGAATTAATCACCTCATCATGGGGATAATAAGTCCCCATCATGGGGATAATAAGTCCCCGTAGATGTAGTGATTATCAATTTCTATAATAAATAAATAATTTTTATAAATAATCATATAATACACAATTAAGAAAAATTAATTTATCAAATTGATGTATTTAAATTGTAACCATATTTACTGAATATATCTTTTAGTCATGTGAGATTTTTGAATCTCCGTAGGCTTGTAAGATCATCGTATTATCGTATGAGTTAATAAGACTTTGTAGATATAACTATTAAGTTTTTAAAATATATATATATATATATTATATAATTAATTAATTAAATTTAATTCTTTTATCGTGTGAGATTTTGAAATCTTCGCAGATATTAGGGATAATCATATTACCGTACAAGTTAATAAGGCTTTGCAGGTATGATGATTAAAGTTTCTTTGAAACATGTATATACACAATTAAAATATATTTTTAACACTTAAAATATACATAAGAATATAAATAAATAAATTAAATTGCTAAATTCTTTTATCGTGTGAGATTTCAGAATCTCCGCAGATACTTAAAGCAATTGCATTATCATATGAACTAATAAGGTTCTGCAGGTACTGTGATTAAAATTTTCAATCATAAAACATAAAGAAAAATAATTTTAAACCCTTTCCTTTCTTTATTCCAAAAATTCAAAAATGGAGAAAATAATTAAAATGAAATTACCTTTTGCAATTTAAAACACACATATCAAAATTTCAGAAATCATTTTATTTGCAAAATGGTGAATTATTTCTAATTAATTTCTCTTCAAAAAATGTTTTCACCAACAAACTTTTAAGCCCAAACTACGTGGACTTTGATTCCCATCACAGGATACGTAGGCCTCAGAGTCAGATTTTGAATCAAGTCCGTCCTCCCTCATAAATAAATAAATATTTATCATTTTTATCAAACACATGAATATAAAAGGGATAATTAAAATAATTAAAAGACTATATTAATAGAGCACAGCAAACTTCAGGTAACTGTTCTACCGAACGAGTGTTGTGGGGTGCCTAACACCTTCCCCATACTCAATCGACTCCCGAACCAATTCTCTGATTTTGCAGACCAACCTTATCCTCCATTAATTGGTTTCTCGAGATTTACCTTAAAATCTTGGTGGCTACTCCTCGTTCGATCCAGTTCCTGCCGCGAAGGCCGGGACCTCCGCTTGCACGCCATCCGCGTCGCATTTTTCTGGACACGACAAAGGGATCAAAATATCATTTACATAAGTCAAAATATCATTTTTCCTATTTATAACGCTTAGCTGTAAAAGTATATAAATAATTAAAGTAAAATATATTATAATTGTTCAAAAAAAATTATATGTATATATATATATATATATTAAAGATATGTGTGTTAATAAATTTTTCCTCAATTCCTTTCATAGTATCTAGGACAAAATTATTATATTAGTGTGCTTAGAAGTAGATTAATTACTTGTTGGGTGCTGACCAAAAATAAAAATAGATTACTTATTTGCTTAACAAAATTATACAATAGTGACATTTAAGCAATGGTACTTTCAAAAAAAAAATGCTGTTAAAGCATTGCCAGCGTCATTAAACATTGATAGTGTCATCACTTTTCAATAAAAGTCATCATTGGCACCACTTTTAAAAAGGCATCACTATTATAGAAAGAATATTTCACGCCGGTTAAATTAAACTTTTAACACTGGTTTTAGAATTGGTGTGAAAACAATCAATAAGAAAAGTGTCAATCGTCAAAGTTGAAAAGGACTGGGTTATAAGAACTTTATCTTGAGGACGATGAGCGAGAGAAGTGAGAGAGTGAGTGCGAGTGTGAAAGGGCATGGGTGTTCGATGGGCATAGAAGTCAAGCTGGATGAGAAGGGTGACGAAGGTCTCTCTAAACAAGATGAAGACATGATTGCAAGGAGTACTAGGAAACGATCACCAAAAGTAGAAGTGGAGGAATAGAGGAGCGGATGTGATGATGCTCAGATGAAGGAAGCTAAAGAACCCAGGGCTAAAGAACAAGCTACGAAGACAAAAAGCAATGAACAGGCTAAAACCCGAATCTCTTATAAAGAGAAGCTTCTCGGGGAAGAAAACTAGAATGTTGAGAAAGGATATGATGAACTGATGAAAGAGTGGCTGCAAGAGGAGCAACAGATGATCCCAAAGCTCACGGAAGATCAAAAAGCTATGCTGGATAATTTGCCGCAGATTAATATATCTAATGAGCGCCTGAAGAAGTTATGTATGCCATGGAAGGATGCTGTGATAGTTACAGTATTGGGAAGAAGCATGATGTTGAAGGTGATGCGTGAGAAGATTGAGTGGATTTTGAAATCGTCGAACTTTGAACTCATTGACCTGCTAAATAATTATTTTACCTTTGGATCAGAAGATAAAGCTCTGAGCCAGAAACTACTTTTTGAAGGCCCATGGCTTATACAAGGCCATTATCTTGCAGTACAAAGATGGTCTCCAAATTTCAACCCCTATAGCAACTCGATAGGAAAAATAGCTGTATGGGCGAGGGTTCCTACGCTGCCAACGCATTGTTACTCTGAAGAACTAATGCTAGAATTAGGTAATATGTGTGGGAAGGTGCTGAAGGTTTATATGAATACCTTAGCCTACTGTAAGAACAGGGGAACTATGATGGAGCGAGGACATTTTGCTAGAGTTAGCGTTGAGGTGGACTTGAATCAGCGACTAAAATCCAAATTTGTTATCAGAAATAGAATTTACAAAGTTGAGTATGAAGGTCTGGATGTAGTATGATTCCATTGCGGAAAGTATGGTCATAGAAAGCAAGAGTGCTCCCTCTTGCAAAAAGAAAAATCTCAGGAACAAGGCTCATTGGAAAAGATGGAAGATCAACCGAAGATGGCAGGAAACCAAAAAGCTAATCAACCACTTGTTAATGACCCTCTCGTTACTCTCGAGGAGGACCTAGGAGGATGGATGCTAGCTAAAAGGACTTTCAAACAACCGTACGTGAAAATGGATAATAGAGGGCCAAAACAGATTACACAACCTATGAGGTTAATAAATTCTTCCTCAATTGCTTTCATAATATCTAGGACAAAATTATTATATTAGTATGCTTAGAATTAGATTAATTACTTGTTGGGTGATGACCAAAAATAAAAATAGATTACTTACTTGCTTAAAAAAAATTATATAGTAGTGACATTTATGCAATGATACTTTAAAAAAAAAAAATCTCAAAAAAATGCTGTCAAAGCATTGCCAGTGTCATTAAACATTGACAGTGTCAGCACTTTTCAATAATAGTCATCATTGGCACCACTTTTAAAAAGGCATCACTATTATGGAAAGAACGTGTCATGCCGGTTAAAATTAACTTTTTAACACTGGTTCTATAATTGGTGTGAAAACAATCAATAAGAAAAGTATCAATAGTCGAAGTTGAAAAGGATTGCATTGAAATCTCATTTTGATAAAAAGAGAAAATATTTAATGCATTTTTAATGCTGGTTGTGTACATAGCCAGTGTGAAGAGTGGACATTTAACGCTGATTATGATCATATATAACAGGTGTTAAAAGTGTACACATTTCACACTGATTATGAATATAACTGGTATGGAAAGGTATGGTTTTTTTTTTTCTTCTTGTTTTTTTTTTTGAAACCATGTTTTTTTTTCCTACTCAACCTTCATATTTACAGAAAATAACTTAGAAATATAGTCAATAGCCAGCCAGAAACTAAAAACCAATCAACTACAACGCATATTTCAACATTTATAATCGAATAACTACAGAACTAATAAAGTAAATACAATGAGCAGGATTTTTAAACACCACAACATGGAAAATTGAACTCACAATTTCACGAGTTCAGAAAAGTAGCTTGCCCATTGAAATCGAATGCCTCTTAATTGCTCATCAGTAAATGAATTGGTTCGAACATCTGTTTGTTAAAAACAGAACAAAACGTCAACTCTGTCAACAAATAAAATAAATAAATCAATAAATAAATAAATAAAACATTCTGGTAAAAAATATAATTTTACCTCTTCAAAAAACTCTGTTATGCCTGAGATGATGATGTTGATCAAGTGTATTATTACACAGTATCCACATGCATTACTTCCCTTCGGTTGTTTATGACTCTGTTGACAAGAACATATAATCAGTATTAAATCAAATGAATAAAATTGATATTATAGCTAGGTCGATAAGGTCATAATCAAACTAGCTGCTAACCTTAAGGCATAACCAAGTCGTTACCTTTAGTTGGGGAGGTTTCCTTTTCTCTTTATGGTTTGGTAAGTTACCATAATCCTGTAATAAAAAACATGCATGGAGTTATACACATATATTATAAAAACTTACCAAGCATAAAGTAAAGAATATTACGAGTTCAATGCATTCTTCACATCCTTTACCAGTTTATAGTGGCTGGTGCACAAAACCACGATGACGTTCTTTTTTGGGCAAATAATCACCAATTGCTAATGGTCTTTGCAAAGTAGTACATAAATTATGTGCAGATTTACAGAATGTGTATATGTATAAAATTAATTAAGTTAAAAACTTTTTCTTACGAATTAAGGTATAGTGCAAAGTAACACTCATGGTTGCTTTCACGTAGCCTTTCCCCAAGGTATATGCACAAGTTTTAGAGTGTATTTGGTTCAACGGGTGAGAAGGAGGGGGGAGGGGAGGATTTTATTGTTACTTTGTTTGGTTTTGTTGGAGGGGAGGAGAGGGGAGGGATTTTTAATGATCCTTTGTTTGGCTCAGGAGGGGAGGAGAGGGGAGGTAATAATTAATTTACTATTATATCTCTATACATTAGTTTAAATTTTTTTAATTTTTTCTTGTAGAAAATAATTTTACACCATAATTTAAATTTCATGATTATTTAAAAATTCACTCTCATACTATCATATTGTTAATATATAAAAACAATTAACCCAATAATTATAATGATAACAATTTGTTATAAGAAATATATAACTAAATATATAATAAAATATGATCAAATGTAACTTTTTTTAAAAAAATCCAATGAGGTCAATTGAGGTTTGGGAGTGAAGCACAATTTGATATGAAAGAGAGTTTTTTAAGTTATGGGTATATTTAGAATATTAAAAAATAAATAAGGGTAAAATAGTAAAAAAAAATAGCTCCCTTTCAAAAAACCCTAATTTGTAGGGGAGCCATATGAGGGGAAGGGAAGGGTTATTTTATTTTCCCTCCCCTCTAAAATTTCTTAACCAAATAAGGAGAGGGGAGTTCTCTCCAAAACTTCCCAACCAAACACACCCTTAGTTTCTTCGGTAGGTTGTTAATAAAATAGCAAAGTATGTAGTAGCATGAATTGGACTTGGACCTAAATAAATAATCAGCTAGAATAGAGAGCATAAGATAGACCTACCAAGATTGTTATCACATATTAAAAACACTACTACATAAAAGAAAATATACAACGGTTATTTTCCTTACTATTTAACGATTATGAACCGTTGAGTAAGCTAGCGCTGAATATTCTATGACCATTTATTCAACAATTTTTAACTATTAAATATTTTTCATTTATTTAACAGTTTTTATTTTAAAATTGTTGCATAACTTTTTGGAATTTGAAAATGAGAAATTGTGAGAGATAATATTCAACGATTTTGGACTAAAAACCATTGAATATTTTCCTCTCATTCAACAATTATTCACTAATAACCATTGAATATATATACTTATTCAGTGGTTGTATGATGAAACTGTTGAATAGTTTTTAATCATATTAAACAGTTTTCTCTCATAACTATTGAATATTATGACCTAATTTTTTTCATTATCCACCCTGCATTTCTAGCAATCTCCCAGCATTGTAAATTACAAAACGATATTCTAGCACCCAGACACAAATTCCGGCTAATGATAGTTATATATATACACATATAAATGTACAATGAATTCCTATAAAAAAACTTATATACAACTTGGATTGCTTAAATTAAAGCAACTAGTGGTTAAAACATGAAGCTCCAAATTTCAAAATTTGCCTAAGTTTCCTAATTGTCACTGTTGCTGGCTATTGAAAGTAAACCATGCTTTAAAAATACCGTGTGCTATCTCTTCAAGGACTTCTTCCATTTAATGAGTATACGTGTCACAGTATGTATCCTTGTAGTACTATATGCAACAACAACAACAACAAATTAAAATCATGTTTATTGATAAAAACTAATAAAATAGAATAGGAAGACAATTACATCATTCGGAAGAATTCTAGTTGGAGCTGGTTGGATTATGTCCTTCATGAATTTCATGATAGCGTACCAACAATCCCTGACTTTGTCTACTTGCTTTGGGCACTACAATCATACAATGGATAAAATAACCGAATAGTTAATTAATAATATGGCATGACCTATACAGTGACATTTCTAACATAATTAATGATAAATACATATACTTTGACAACTGTCCATGATGCTGTTGTATCAAATCAATCGCTGCCCTTTACTAGTTATTGAAATTGTTGATCAACATTAGTGCGGGACATGACAATGGCCCTAACATGAAATAGAAAACTTGACATAAGAAATATTCATACACAAAGAACAAATTGCATATATGCAAACAAATTAATTAACTTACTGATTAATCATTTCCACAATATGTGGTCTGTTAGAGGGGTGGCCACTCCGAATAGGGTCAAGGTACCACACCTTTGCTAAAGTTAGATTGATCACAAGTAACATTTTGTGTTCCCTATGACAAAAATTACAATTAAAAAGTATCATATAAATAATTAAATTTTGAATAAATTAAAGTGAAGCACTGTAAAGTAACTTACCCTTCACAATAAGGTACTATGAATATCGTGTTCTTGTCGGCACCATGTTGCTAGAAGTACTTTGAAAGCTTCTGAGATATTTTCAGTCCTTGCTTAGGACTCATTATGTCATGGCCATAAGGAGAGACTATATGAGGACTGACAAATATAATCCTTCGTGCTATATCTATTCTAGCAAGCATGGTAGTGTAGAGGTTCCTTAAATATTGAAATAAATAGAACAATATATGATTAAAGTGTGTGTGTGTGTGTGTGTTTGTGTGTGTAGCTAAATGTTTAATGAAAGGTTTTAGAAACATACCTCACATATAAGTTACATAGAGTAGTGGTAGCCTCTACATGGTTGAATAAATCATCTAACACCTTATTGTTGACTTAGTCAAAAGACTGAGGGAAAGGGAGCAGCACTCTTTCTTGCATCTTAGCATAGCTCTTAAGTAATTGCCAATTTTCATTGGGTGCGATTTGACTTTTAGAGGCTTGAGGCTGAGGGACTTTAGGCATATGGGCTTGAGGGAGAACCGGTGTCTTTTGGGGAAATGTGATGGACTCTTTGGATTTTTCAGTGCTTTTCTTATCCTTTCCCCTCTTCTACTTAGTAGTGAATGCTTTCATAGCCTTTGGTGCTTTCTTTCCCACCGGCTTATCAACAGGCTAATTTTTCCAGCATATAAGATTGTTAGATATCAAATATAAAAAAATGCAAAAGAAGTTAATTTTCAACTATGAGTTTAACAAATATACCTTTAGAGATAGTGCCGAAATATGAAGAAGACGAACCGACCATGCAACAAAGCTAAGCAATACATCTACTACTGTCCTTGCATCCGGAGTGGGGTAAGGTAGATCATAATTAAGGTTCTCAATTGTCTTCAAAGAGACTTTTATTATCCTTCAAGGATGTGTTCATTGTGAAGTATCACTTGCCCAGTAATGTTATATATAGCCCC